AGGACAGCCACTAACGTTATGTGTCACCATGTGGCAAGGCTGCTCGGGGTGTAGTTTACCAGCATGCCTGGCTCTGCGGTGCTCGTGCACGTCGCTGTGGCCACTGCTCGGAGGCGTGTGCAGCAGTGCTGTGCTCCGTGTGCACCCGCCTTTCCCCATAAGTGAGGAAGTCACGGTGTGTCTGTGCTGAAACGACTGTCTATAAAAAGTGTGCTTACTATGAATGTCTGCTCTAGTAACTTATTCTGGAAAATCAGCTATTTTCAGAGAGATTCTGATTGTAGACAAATGGATAGAGCTTTCAGAGTAGTTAGGTTGTCAGGGGGCTTTCAATGCAAGGATGAGAAATTTAGCTCAGTTGCATTTAGTGTCACATTAAACCTACCTCCTGTTATTTCCCGAAAGACACTTTTCTAAATGTACGTGTTCCTCAAATAGCATATTTGTATGTTTGCATTAAGCTTATTACTCCTTTATTGCACACACACACCCAGGCCCCATCAGCTTGTTCTTTTAAATGCCTTGGAGGCCAGGGCTGCGCCTCAAGCATTGCCTGCTGCCTGCCAGCATCGGCTTTGGCTGGAGCTGGGACCCAAAGCTGGAGACTCAGCCCAGACACTGACCTACGGCAGTGGGCCTCAATTGCTAGGCTCAGTTCCTACTCCAACTTTTCATTTTTGATCAACCTTTGAAGCACTCTTCTGTACATATACCTATGTATGTGTTATATGGAAATGCTAATCTGTTATACATGCATTCCTCAGTAAATGTTTAGCTGTTGCAGTAACTTGCTAAATTATCCAGAACCAGATAGCTTGATTCTCAGAACAGACTCAAGTTTCTGGTTATATGCACCTAGTGTCCCACATTGAAGTTCTGTGTGTTCGTATTGTTTGCTACTCTCCAAAGAAACTTACAAGATACCAGAGAGTGAGAAATAAGATAGAATGGAACGTGGAAGCAAGATGGGAGAGCAAAAAATGAAATCGATGCAATGTGCTTTTTGTTTATTGCTTTGAATAGGTAGGTGAGAGTGCAGGTTCGTACCTGGTTTAGTTGTAGGCTACTGAGATGTGGCAATGCTTTGTTATCCAGAAGCTGAGTTGAATTCATTCTGGGTCTCTTCAGAAAGCTTGATTAAATGAAGTGGACCAAGATTTCACCTGTTCCATAAAACCCCAAGACTAAGAACAAGCTTTCCCCTCGTAAATGCCACGGTTCTGGGCAATGCCTTCTGATTGAGACTGGTGTGCAGCAAGAGGCACCTGTTCTGTTAGTTGGAGTGATGAAGGCAGGTGCCTGAAGAAGGCATATGAATAGTGACTAATGGAGGCAAGAGTCCCACGTTGTCTTACCCTCAGCATCTAGGTCTGGAGGATCATAGAGCGCTCTGAGATGTGATTGGATGCATGCAGGACGCTCTGGGCAGGTGATGGCACTAGCAGTGGAAGAGGGTGCCCTGAAGGGGTCTCACAGGGGTCAGCCTGTGCTTTTAGGCAAGGTAGCTCGTGTCACTGTGCACCGAGTGTGGAGCTTACGCAGCGCAGTGCTGGCTGCTGTTGATGGGAGCGAGGCAAGGCGACTTGAGTGGAATTTCAGTGAGGCGCAGGCTCCTGTTCATTGTAGTGAGAGTGTTTGTGTGCCGGCCAGAAGTTGCACAAGTGACTTGTAAGAGTGCTTCTAGAAGATGCTGTTGCTAGTAGGTAGATCTTTTAGCCAGAGCATGTTAAGTGGAGATTGGTGTCTGGTTGTGCCTTAGCTTGCGTGGAGAGCCCTTGGCTGCAGCTTGTGTGGGGCACAACCTGTTATTGTCTTGTTCCCTGACCCCATCAGGGAATCTAGGCTTTAAGTGAGGAAGACAGAAAACCTTCCTTTTCCATGTGGAGCCTCATCTTCGTGAAGGTGGTCCTTTGCCAGGCTTGCTCAGTGAACACAATTTTTTAAGGTTTGTTTTTTATGGGAAAAGCAAATTTACAAGAGATGTTGCATCTGCTGGTTCTCTCCCTAAATGGCTGCAATGGCCAGAGCTAAACTGATCCCAAACCAGGGGCCAGGAGCTTCTTCCAGGTATCCAATGAAGGTGCAGGCTTTGAGCCATCCTCCACTGCCTTCCTAGGCCGCAATAGGGAGGGAGCTGGATGGAAAATGGAGCAGCCAGGATACAAAGCAGTGCCCTCATGGAGACTGGTACTTACCAATGGAGGATTAGCTGGTTGAGCCATGGCACTGGCCCCTCTGAACATGTATCTGCTTCCTCCTCATGTCCCTTCTTTGATACATTCTCTTGTGCCTGGTGTTGATGGAGTTGTTTGCAAGAGAGCCGTAGTAGAAGCACCACTGCATCTACTCCGTGCTCCTGAAGGGCCGTCAGGTGACGCCAGGCACTGCTGGGAGCAGCACCCTGAGCGCACACACGTGGGGCCTCTGACGGGGCTGCTAGCAGGGCTAGGATTTAACTTTGGAGAGGCCCAGGAGCTTCTTGATTGTGCCATTAAGAGCATCATGTTTTAACAGAAAAACCTGGTGGGTGCAGAACGTGTACAATATGTATTAGCTTACAAATCCTAACTTTAATGAATTGTTCCTCTTAAAAACTAGTGAAGATTTGAAGAAACGAAACTAAAAACAAAAAACATCAAAATCCATGAGATATGGTGTCTGCTGGTCTTCTTCCTCCCTGCTGATCTTTGTTGGTGAGATATATCTCCTGTAGGCAACGAATAGATGAGTTTTGTGTTTATAATCCAGTATATCACATTTGATTGATGAGTTTAAGCCATTTATATTCAGAGTTAATATGATTGGGTGTAATTATTTCCTGTCATTTAGTAATGGGTTGCTCATTGATTTAGTCTTCTGTTATTTTACTGGGATGTTCTTCACATTTGCCTTTGGTTTTGGCAGATGCTATTCCTTTTTTCTGTGAAGAGAACATCTTTAAGCATCCTTTGTGGGGCAGATTTGGAAGAGGCATATTCTTCTAACTTTTCTTTACTGTGGAAGATTTTATTTCATTTTCAAAGACAAAGGAAAGTTTTGCCGGGTACGTTATCTGGCCTGGCGATTTTTTGCTTCTAGAATCTGGAATTTGTCTCTCCATTCTCTCCTGGCCTGTAGAGTTTCCTTTGAGAGATCTCCTGTGAGTTTAACTGACATTCCTTTATATGTCAGTTGATTATTTTCATGTGCACATTTAAGGATCTTTTCCTTATGTTCGATTGAAGAAAGCTTGATTATTGTGTGTCATGGTGAAGATCAATTTTGGTCAAGTCTGTTGGGAGTTCTGTGCTCCTCCTGGATGTTGTTTCCCAATTCTTTCTTTAGATTAGGGAAATTTTCTTTTGTTATGTCACTAAATACATCTTTAATTCCGGTTTCTCTTTCTGCACCTTCTGGGACTCCACCTCTTATGTTTGACCCCTATAAAGTGTCTCTTAATTCTTGAATTTTTTTTTAGCTTGACCCAGCTCTGCTTCCAGCTTTTTGATTGTTTCCCTCTGGTGACAGGAAATATCTTCCCATTCTGGGATTCTTCCTTCCTCCTTCATTCTGTTACTGAGGCTTCACACTGAATGATTAATCTGCTCTATTGTGTCCTTCATTTCCAGTCATTTGACTCGATTTTGTTTCAGTGTTGCTATTTTCTGTGTGACATATTCCTTAAATTCTTGCCTATGCTTCTCATTGATAAGAAACTTTATAACAAGTGTTTTGGAACACTTTTTTTTTTCTCATTGAAGTCTTCACTGACTCATAGATCATACAGTAGCACCATTTTCAAGAAGGTTCTTGATTTTTTTTTTCTTTCTTCAGCAACACATTAGTCATTCAGTAGCATGTTATTTAGCTTCATGGCATTATAAGTTTCTATTTTTTCTCCCTGTTGATTTTGTTTTGTGTCTTTTTACATGGGGGGTTTATAGGGACTGTGTAGTGGAGCCTGACGTGTCCAGATGTGAGGACATGGTGCGGTGTGCATCTCTACTTCCGGATCGAGGATGGACCCCATTGAAGCTGGTGGATATGTCTTGACAATGGGATGTTGGATTCTGCCATTGTCATACCTGCAGTGATGGACTTAATGGCTGTTTATGAGGAACTATGCTGTTGGCAGGGCTTGGGAGTTAGGGGAGAGGGTAGGGGAAATCCCAGGACCTAATGAACTGTATCATAAAGTGATAATAATAATAATTAAAAGAAGAAGAAATGTTCTATAAAAAACTAGAAATTTTCTTTCATAGACTTTTTATATCAGTATCATTTAAAATAAAACTGCAAGATTGAGAAGATGGCAGTTGTTACTTGTGAATGCCCAGGGCAGCGGCTGGATGGTTCCATCATTCCCCCGCGAGCTGTCTACAGGCGGGGTCCCGTTACAAGCCTGTTCTCATGCAGCCGTCATGTCAAGGCTGTAACAGGAGAAGAGGAGCTTCAAAACAGGCCTACCTTGAGGGCCTCATTGGAAATGTTCTTACTTCTCTGAACTTGGAGAGCATGTAGTAGATACATCAGATTTTTATTCCACATGTTCGTCTAGAGAGAACACAGAGTAAAGGACTTTCCATGTACTTTCAATGTCTGAGTTTATGTTTTCTAAAGAAATAACAGTGTGATAACATGGTCGCGGCTTCATCTCCTTGGTTCCGAGTGTGACCTTCCACCCTCTTGGGCCTGGTCTTCAGAAAGATGTAGCTGAAGGGGAGCTGGTTTGCTGTGACAGCTTTAGGAGTTGATGCAGTAGTGGAGTTGGACAATGTGTGTTTAAGCTTATGTGCCTTGTTTATTATAAAGAATTGGGAAGAACAGCTTTAGGGTGAGGGGGAACTCCCTTGAATCATAAAATCTCAAAGTCAAGTAAATAATTTACTCCGCTACATATTCTTACCAAGGATCTCTGACAGCTAGGTGAAGGAAATGAACTAGCATTGTATTCGTTTTCAGCATGCGGTGTTTCTTTTTCTCGGGTTTATAACAGTCATTTCTGTGGGCGTGTTTTTTAGGGCATCATACAGAAGATAGTGGACAGTCACAAAGTGAAGCACGTGGCCTGCTATGGATTCCGCCTGAGTCACCTGCGCTCCGAGGAGGCTCACTGGCTGCACGCCGACATGGGCGTCTCCAGCGTGAGGGAGAAGTATGAGCTGGCCCACCCGCCGGAGGAGTGGAAGTAAGATGTGCTGTCTTATGGTTGTGGTAAACACACGTGTGTGCTGTTCCACGCTGCTTGCTCTGCAGCCTCTGTGATTCTGTCTTTGAGCCACCTGAGGTCGTTATGCTGCGATGGTCTTTTCTTAATAATTTTTTGTCTACGAAGTCCTGCTTTGTCTCAGTTTCTATTGTAAACTGAACCCAGTTCCTTCCCTTTTTACCCTTTTGATCCATTGCTTCTTTCTGTCATTTAGTTCATGTGCCCTGAGCAAACCACACTTCATTACCTTTTTGATGGGCTGTGTGGCTTGCTTCACTGTGCCCAGTAACCTGCAGGTCACCTAAACAAGGTGCTTGTGTGTTTGATAATCATATACAACATCAAAGTTGCAGTGTGATCGCTCAGTTCTCAGTATTGGAGTAGTGGATGAATGAGTGACGCTGAAATTCTTCCCAAGTGAAGCACAAGGATGCTCTATAATTGTCTTCCTTGTTTTCCCTCAGTAACTTTTTGTATTATTAAGTAGATCAAGATATTATTCGATAATTGTGCATTGAAAATACTGAACTTCAAAAGAAGCATAGCTCATAAAAACTGGTTTCTTCACAGGGTTCTCTTTTTTCATAGATTATATATACCACAAACTTATAAAGGTGGTTGTAAGTGGAAGAATTCATTCTTAGTAACAGTAACCTTCAGTCCGAGATCTGTACTTGTAAAAGAGCGAACATGTTTAGGTGGATAACCCCCTTTTCCATCTTTTTGCCACCACCCCTTTTTGTTTTTTGAGGAACAGAGTACATGCTTGCTCACTTCCCAAATGCCCACCCACAGTGACCGGGGCCAGAGCCTGACCATCCCTCCTGTTTCCCGGTCCTGCGTTAGCTGGGAGCTGCAACGTGTGCAAGGAACGTGGCTGTGTAACTGGCGTCCTAACCAATGGGCTCAGTGCCTGCCCCAAATGTATCTTAAGTTGAATACAATCTATGTTTCATAATTCAGCAAAAAGTATAGTTGTGTTTCCAAATTTTTATAGTTGCTGGAATAGAGCTAACAAAATAGTTTTTGAGAATGCAATTAAATCTTTTTTTATCGGTGGCTGAAAAAATTTAATCACTTTTTAGTTAAGCAAACAAAAGTTTAAATATTTGGAAAATCTGAAAGTTATGTAAAAATAATTGTAAGTATTTGTACCAGACATAGTTACATAGTCACGTCAGAAGGAGACATCATCTTAGTGCTCAGAGACATGCTCATTGAATCCCAGTCGCTGAGTGTATGTAGGAACCTGTCTTGTTCCAAGTAAAATGCAATAGGTGTCACTTTGTTTAGTGGAACCTGAATCCTGAAACGCAAGAAAGCTGTAGGTTAGCTGGAACTTTGCACAGGCTAACGATGTGCTGCCGCAGCTCGGGACAGTGTGATTGCCATGTCACTGTGAGTGGCTGTACTGTGTCAGCCTGTAAACCGCTTCTGGGAGGCCTGGGTGTGTAATTCATTTAACCCACACCAGACCCTAGGAGAGTGGATTGCTATGCCGGTTTTATAGATGAAAACAGATTTTTACCTCTCCATAGAAATGAGAGGGTAGCTAGGCTTTTCAGAAAAACGAAATCTTGGGTGAACATTTGGCTTGGAGAGGAAGTGGAAAAACCAGGAAGGAGCAGGAGGGCATTGCAAAGCCTTTGGGGGAGGGGGGCTGGGACATGGCACAGCGGGTCAGCTGCCTCCTGCTAGCATCTCATTGTGTGTGTTAGTTTGCATCCCATTGGCTCCGCTTCTGATCTGGTTCCATGCTAATGGCCTGGGAAGAGGAGCAGATGACTCAAGTGTTTGAGCACCTGCAACCCATGAGGGAAGGACCTGACCTGGCACAGGCTGTTGTAACTCTGACTTTCACAATAACTCTCTCATTTTTTAAGGATTTTTAATTTATTTTGGAAAGGCAGATATGAAGAAAAGGAGAGGCAGAGTGGAACAACTTCACCGCTGATTCATTACCCAAGTGGCCAAAATGGCCAGACCTGCAGCAGTCCGAAACCAGGAGCTTCTTCTGGGTCTCCCACACGGGTGCAGAGTCCCAAGGCTTTGGGTCATGGGATTAGAAACGGCACCCATATGGGATCCCGGTGCATTCAAGGCAAGGACTTTAGCCACTAGGCTGCTGTACTTGGCCCTAAAATAACTCTTAAAAAAAAAAAAAAAAACAGAAAACAGGGCAGCCTGGTTGGATAGTATAGCAGTTAAATCCCTCGCCTTGAACGCCTTGAACACTGTGGGATCCCATATGGGTGCTGGTTCTAATCCTGGTTGTCCCACTTCCCATCCAGCTCCCTGCCTGTGGCCAGGGAGTGCAGTCAAGGATGGCCCAAAGCTTTGGGGCCCTGTACCCGCATGGGAGACCTGGAAGAGCTCCTGGCTTCAGATTGGCTCAGCTCCAGTCATTGTGGCCACTTGGGGAGTGAATCATCGGATGGAAGATCTTCCTCTCTGTATCTCTGCCTTTCCAATAAAAATAAAAATAAAAATAAATAAATCTTTAACAAACAAAAACCAAAAAACGAAAGTATTATGTACATCCAAATAGGTGATCTAGACTAATTTTTCAGCAGGTCTAATCTGCTTTTCAGATAAAACAGAAACATCAAAAAGTTGGATGAAAGCAACCGCAGTTTTTTACTTAGCACGACTGTGTAATCTCTGTAATTTATAGACACATCAGAGGTAGCCTTCATAGTGGTGCCCCTCGTAGTGCTTACTCTCTGAGTGTACTGTTTTTGTCTGTTAGGTCATTTCACCTCCTTTAGCATATAATTAACTAGGAACAGACATGGCTGAAATCTTAATAACCCGGAAGGTGGGTCTGAGACACTTACCCAGAATGTAAGCTGGAGAGGGGACAGGTGCAGACCATGGCAGCAGGCTTATGTGGTGTGAAGGATGATGTCATTCTATTTCTAATAGAAAAAGTCTGGAAAATAAGAATGCAAAAGAATGGGAAAGAAGAAATAACTTCTAGGGTCAGTGTCTGGAAACATGAGTCCTCCAGTGCAGGCCGAATGAAAAGTCCAAGAGCCAGGCTTTGCCAGGTTGCAGCAAATAATGAACTGGACACAGTGTGAAAAACAACCAAGGAAAAATTTCTAAAAGATCACTTTTTCAAATTTTATGTTAAACGGGTATGTAAACAATTTTTTTAAAAGATTTTAATTTTGTTTGTTTCTATTAGAAAGCAAGATTTACAGAGAGGAGGAAAGGCATAGAGAAAGATCTTCTGTCTGCTAGCTCACTCCCCAACAGGTCACATTGCCTAGAACTGAGCAGATCCAAAGCCAGGAGGAGCCAGCTGCTTCCTCTGCGTCTTCCACATGGGCGCAGGGTCCCAAGACTTTGGGTCATCATCCTCTATTGCTTTCCCAGGACACAGACAGGGAGCTGGATGGGAAATGGAGCAGCCAGAACATGAACAGGTGCCTATATGGGATCCTGATGCATGCAAGGCAGGGATTTAGCCAGTTGCCTGGTCCATGAACAGATGTTTAACAGCAATTACAAATGCCAGGAAGATAGTGCGGTAATGTATGCAAACTAGAAGATTCCTGCAGCCTGTTGTTCTCAGGCAAGTTAAATCAGTGCAAGTACAGGCAGGGTGGAGACACTTACCTTCTCTGACAGAAGCATCTCAGCAAGTCCTGCCTGGGCGAGCGCTTGTGGAGCCAGGAGAACAAATGGTAGATATAGGTGTATGTTGGCTGTGTAAAACGAATATTAAGGATTGATTTTCAATCTGAAACCATCTCACAAAGATATAGGAGTCGAAGGGAGGCAAAGACTGGTATTTCCCTGCTAGAATTTGTGAAAACTTTTAGAAAACATTATGAACTGACACCGATATGTGATGCTGCCCTTTGGAGGTGTAGGATTAGCCACTTGAACCATTATGTTGGACCTGAACTTTTGCAGTATAACGTTTGACCAAAGTCCTAACCCAGATTTGCAAATATACCAGTTTATCACTGAAATATATATTTTAGGCCAACCACAATGGCCTGATTGGCTAATTCTCTACCACTCAGTGCCAAGATCCCTTAAGGGGTGCTGGTTCATGTCCAGGCTCCTCCACTTCCTATTCAGCAACCTGCTTGTAGCCTGGGAAAGTAGCAGAGGACGGACCAAGTGGTTGGGACCCTGCACCCTCATGGGAGATCCTGAAGTTCATGGCTCCTGGTCTCGGATTGGCTCAGCTCTGATTTTTGCGGCCTTTGGACAGTGAACTAACGGATGATAGATCTTTTACTCTATAAATCTGCCTTTTCAATAAGAAAAAAGAAATCCTTAAATATGTACTTTAAACTGATTAATATTTCACCTCAATTAAAATTCCAGATAGTATACGGCATGATATTATTTTTATAAAGTAAAAGATAAAACGAAAGAAAACATGAATGTTACTGTCACCATGTATGTTAGGAGAAACCCAGGGAACTGGGAGGCCAGGTGCCCCCACTGAGCCCAGCAGCCCACCAGAGTCCTGTGTGGGACTGGCGGGGTCGCAGTGGTTTAATGAGCACTAGCGCTCTCTTGGCCCATGCTCAAGGGCAGGCCATGTTTCCTTGCTTCTGTGCTACTAGGAAGGTCCACAATGCATGCCGTACCTAGTTTATAATACAGCCAATGATAACGCAGTCTGAGAGGCTTCTGTCATTTTTCAAAAGGATTCACTGAGCTCATTTGAAAGGCAGAGTGACACAGAGAGGGAGAGGCAGGCAAGGCAGTATTCTGTGTACTCCTTCACGGCCCAAATGGCTGCAGCAGCTAACGTGAAGCTCGGACCCTAGAGCTCAGCTGTGTCTCCGACGTTGGATCGTAGGCATCCAAGTACTTGTTCTATCTTGTGCCACTCTTCTAGGCATATTGACAGGAAGTCAGGTTGGAAACACAGCAGCTGGGGCCCAGATCAGCACTCCTGGGATGCTGGTGCTGCATGTAGCAGCTTAATCCACTCCCCCACGACGCCT